ATCTGAAATGAAGTGTCAGAGGGGGAGATCCTCCGGTTCTCCAGTCGGTTGCACGCACCTCCTGGGTGGGGCAGTGCACCGCCTTGCCTCAACTTGCCCTATTTGGTTTATACCCACTGTCCAACCAGACCCATAAAATGAACCTGCTACCTCGTTTGGAATTGTAGAGACCACTTGGCTTCTGCCTCTCTTTCTCTCTCTGGGAGTGGCTTTCTGGAGCTGCCTCTTATTTGGCCATCTTGGGATCCCCCTACTTATATATTCTTTGAAGAGGTCTTTGTTGGGGCAAGGTAAGCAGTTCTAATACTGTGATAAATGATGATTAATATTGGAAAATAAAAGTGATAGTTTATTGTTATTACTACTCGATTATTAAGATTCACTAGATCATTTATTCTATTCATTCATACATACATTCGATGAATGTTAAACACCAAGTACATGATTTACCAAGAAGATGGTAAAGATTTAGGACAGGAATATAAAGACAGGAACTCAGTGGAACACTGCAACTTGAATCCTGGGAGGCGGTACTTTCAAATAATTCTTTATAATGGTAATAAATTTGCTGTATCCATCCTACATTTATCAGGCCTTTCCTTGGTGGATTGACATCATCATTTAAATGAAAATCCCTGTCTTCATTTGTTAGTTAAGGTACATTGCTCCTCGGGGAACAGACAAGTCTGTGACACTTTGGAGCAAAATGTCTGGAATCTGATTTTCCAATGGACATTCACATATGTTTGAAGAAAAGAGTGGTGAATACTAACTATAGCACCTATTTTACAAAAGCTCAACTCAAGACACAGAAGCCTTCAGATGGAAATGACATACAGTAGAAACCATAGATGTACAGAAGACCAGCCAGGCACATGGTAGTGAGTGAAATGACTTGATCAGAATCATCTGGAGCCTGGAGCTGAACACATGGGTGTCAGCTCAGAAAAATTTTTAATCCCACAAATGACAGAGACTTTTTTTTTTTTTTTGTAACAGCAAATATTTCTTGCATACCCACACAGTGAGAATTGTACTTTTTGAACTACACCCTGAGAATCACTGGAGTTAATGATGTCTAGGCTTTTCCCACATCTAGGACTGTATACTTTTTCTATAGCTTTGCTACCAATGACTTTTCCTTGAACAATGTATAGAGTGAGCACTCATTCCTCCCCAAGGCAGCTTATTTTGTTCTTGGTTGTCCACAGTGTTAGAGCAAAGAGTAAGCAGAGAGTCATCTTCTTCTAACTTTTATGTATTGGGTCATGTTCTACTTCCAAAGTGACATAATCTAACCACAGTTTCTTCCAGACAATGGCTTTCTATTATACTCCTTAAATCCAGAAAAGATGTACAAACCACAGCAAAACAACGTGCATCATGAAAGGGGGAGAGAAAGAAGGAAACAGGAAACAAGGCAGGAAACGAGTTTCCAAATCCATTGTGTTAATGGCCTCAGTAGGAGAGAAAGAAGGAAACAGGAAACAAGGCAGGAAATGAGTTTCCAAATACATTGTGTTAATGGCCTCAATATATGCTATAGGGAGGCCACAGATGTAGCTTTAGATTTTCTAGCAGTCAACAGTCAGAGGTAAATGTTAGCAGTTGGTGTACTAACATCCTTAGGGGCAATTTTCCTCAGGACGAGCATAGGTGTGCCTGGTACTCAGATCAGACTTGGAGTAGTCAACATGGTTCCTTGTGGAAAAGTCTGTTGGTACGTCTTGAACCACATGCATCGCATTTCTTACATAACAATCATAATATAAACAAGCAAACGGCATCATGGCGAAGTAGTATTTAGGAAAAGCGATTATTTTAAGATACAAAAACAGTAAGGTCTAGGTGCCCCATTTCCTGCTGTAGATCTGGCTAAGTCCTTGATTCTAGATTATTTGGAAAAGTATATCCAATGACTGCCATGTAAGCAACTTTCCTTGAGTGTTGGGTCTTTTGGGTTAGTTTTGAATAAATATTCATTAAGCTTTTGATTAATTATTAAATAAATCTTCACTTACTCTATGCCAAGACCTATTCTAAGTATTTTACACTTATCGTCTCATTTAGTATTCACAGTAGTCTTATATTGAGTTGCTCTTCTATATCCTATTTCAGGGATAAGGAAGCTGAGAAAGATTAAGACCACTAGTAGTTTGTGAAGCCAGAGTTTGAACTTCACACATTCAACCCAACCACCTTTTTAAAATCACTATGGAATTCCTTTAGCGGTCAAGTTAGGTGAACATCCTTCTGTGAAAGTTTGGGATTGAAGACAAAAGGGCAATGATGAGGTCAATTGATTTCTGCTGAGAAGCCAAAGCAATGGGAATGGACATAAGCTTGGAAAAGAGTATGGAGACTGGGGCAAAAAAGACAGGGGGGGAAAGGAAGGCAAACAGTTCAGTGTATCCTTTAGAAAATCACTTCTCTGTTCTTTTTTCAGCTTCTTTAAATTGCAAACTGCTGTGGTTTAAAATATGTCCATAAATTCTTTGACACTCTTTAAGATGGAGCCAACTCCCTTCCCTTTGAGAGTGAGCTGGATCTAGTATCACATATCAAATGAATAAAGTGGGAGTGACAGGTACAGCTTTGGGGATTTGGTCCTACAAGGCACTGTGACTTCCTCACTGTTCTCTCTTTTGGACTGCTTGCTCTGGGGGAAGCCAACTGCCATCACAGAGATGAACAGCCTAAGACAAGGGCCATGTGGCTAGGCACTGTGGCCTTCTGACAATAGCCAGTGAGGAACTGAGGGCTTTTTTGCCAACAGTCTTGTGAATGAGCCACGTTGGAAGTGGATCTTCCAGCCCCAGTTAAGCCTTCAGATAACTGCAACCCAGCTGTAAACTCAGAAGGAACCCTGAGCCAGAACTACCCAGTGAAGCCACTCATGGGTGATTCCTGACCCTCAGAAACTCTGTGAGATGATACATTTCTATTATGTTAAATTGTTAGAATTTGGAATTGCTATGTGGTCATAGATAGCTAATACACAAACCAACAAACACACTTCCAAAACCAACAAAACAAAACAAATGCAAATACAGTACATTACCAAGAATTTCCCGAGGAGAAAGAAACCTTGAGAATACAGCTATCCTCCTTTAAGCAAAGTATGCCTGCAAACTCTTTTAATCTGAAGATATTACAGCATTTTAATTCACTTCTAAAATAATTTGCCATGATTTGGAGCTTAAGTATGTAGGTTATTTACTTACAACTTACTTGTATAAAAAAGGGAAGATAAACATATTCAACATTTCACATTACATAAACTCCTCAACATTCTTAAAGTAATGTCAACAACCAAATGCAAAAGATGGCCCAGCGAAATTCTCTACCTCCTATGGAAAGTTAAAATCTCAAAACCCAGCTCGAGAGGATGGAAGCACAGTGGGCAATAGCAGGCAGAAGCACGCAATTTAGCCAGTCATTAAGAACAATTCGTTAAAAGCTCATTTTAAAAGATAATATCTGCCAGCATTCTGATCCCAGAGGTTGGCAACCTGCTGAGGCCACACACGATCAGTGCAGGTTATTCAACACATGATGATGACTACGGCTGGAGAATGTGCCCTGATTTCCATCATCTCCAGGGAGAGTAAACATCACCTGAGTTTTCATTCTAATGCAATCACGATTATGAATCCAGAGGTATCACTTAGGCACCAAGGTATCTCATTATTTTTCAACTTCCACTTTCTCTACTCCATTGCTCAGCCCAGGGTTTTGTGAGCCCCACTGCATGGCATAAAGGAAGCTTTACTAAGGAAAACAAATGCTAATTTATTTCTAGATGACTTACAGTGCTCAGCCCCAAATCAGGCCTGGCTAGTACACCTCTGCTATCTGTGCTCCTTCTTGCACAAAACTCCTCATGAAGTTGCAGTTTTAAAAATTTTTATTATTTATTATTTTTTTTTGAGATGGAGTCTTGCTCTGTTGCCAGGCTGGCATGCAGTGGTGCAATCTCGGCTCACTGCAACCGCTGCCTCCTGGGTTCAAGTGATTCTTCCACCTCAGCCTCCCAAGTAGCTGGGACCACAGGTGCATGCCACCACGCCTGGCTAATTTTTGTATTTTTAGTAGAGATGGGGTTTCACCATGTGGCCAGGATGGTCTCGATCTCTTGACCTCCTGATCCACCCACCTTGGCCTCCCAAAGTGCTGGGATTACAGGTGTTAGCCACTGTGCCCAGCAAAGTTGCAATTTTAAAAGAAATGTTTCCCATCAAAATTCAATAGACTTCTATAAGCACATACACTTTCTTACTTTTCCAGGCTGCATGAAATTTAGTATCAGGATTATTATTCATTTGTCACATTCACCTATTATTTAGTAAGCTTTTTTGTGTTTGAGTTATGCTTCTTTCCCCTCTGAGCCATCAGCTTGCAGCCATAGATTCATTTGAAAAGCCGTCCAGGTCACATGGTTTCACCTCTTAGAACAAACATTTTCCACGTTTCTTATTCTGCTTCCATAAGAGACACCATTAGTTTTGTTCATCTCTATTTAAAATGATTTTTATGACACAATAACATTTCAAGTTTTCCACATTAACCTTCATTTTATTTCTTGAAATACTTAGGCAAATAATGCCACTAAGATATCACTGATGGAGAATTCTTTCTCCTTCACTCCTGTCTACTTAAAGGCAACTCTGAAGAAAGAATACACTTCTGCTCTGAATCAGCTGAGTGCTGGGAGAAAAGTTTAAAAGTCTGACCTAGTGACTCACAGCATCTTAAAGTCAATACTTTCATAAGCAACCAAAGCAGAAAATCTTAATATAACTTTTTTCCCCAAAATAAATAGATACATTTTCAAATCCGGTGTCCTATAAAGGAATTTAAAATCTATTTTCTTACACATAAGTTCAAAGATGTCTGTTTCCAAAGGGAAAATGAAAATAAAATAAAAATAGAATCCCAGCCCATTTGCAAAAGCAAACAAGGACAGGAACACACACCCCAGCGGGGCGGACAGTACTCACCCCACAGCCCAGGCCATTGCCCCCTTCGCAGGTGACTTTCCTCTGGTCAGGCTCAGGCAGCAGCCCCGCTCCACAGCCAGGGCGGGGGCATAACACACCCCCCATCTGCAGGACACACTCCTCCGCAGCATAATGCTGGTACCGGTTGTACTGTGAACACAAAAGCAGAGGGAGCTTTCAAATCGACTGTATATTCCAGCCAAAGGGTTAGGAGCTGACAGTTTATATTTCTTGTTTAACCAGTGTCAGTAAAATAATGCGTGTGTGTGTGTGTGTGTGTGTGTGTGTGTGTAAGGGGAGGGAGAGGGTCAGGGGGTTGATAGGGGAGGACAAGGTAGGGTTTAATGTAGAAAAAGTCTACCAAATTCAACTGGCAAGACATACGAGTTTACTCTTTGCTTTTTTTGTCTTGAGAAAACAGATTTTCCAAAGTTTTATATTTTATGAGATTATTTCAACCAACTGTATTTCAACAATCTCATTTCATATATATTTTAAGAAACATATTTATGTGTTAAACAAATGCTTATCATACATCATCAATCCTATAAAGCAATATATTTTCATGCCTCCACCATTTCAGATTCAACAAGGTTTTGCAATTATTTTGAAAATCGGCCCAATGTTCTGCCTCATAACTGTTGGCAGCCCACACGGTACCAGTGAGCTAGAAGAAGACTAATGTTAAAGCATGGCATTTTTCCTTTATCATTATTCTTAAAGCACGATTTCCTGTGTCCCTGACTTCATTTCTTTCTGCTACTGCTTTGCTCAATTTCCTTTAATGGTTTCCCCAGCCTACAAATAAATTCCAAACTCCACCAGATCATTTTCAAGGGCTTCTTGTATTATTTGGAATATAAACTCAGATCAAGTCAAATAGATTTGCTCAATTATTAATTAAATAATGCAACATCTATTGAGAGCCTACTACATTCTAGGCACTGTTGAGGGGCTGGCGTTACAGCCGTGAATGAGCAAAGTTCTCCGCCTTCATCCACAGCACTGTAACAGTACCAAGAGGTTAGGATGGCTAGTATGTCCAATGGTGCTATGTGTGGAAGAGAATAATCCACAGGGAAGAGAGAGATTCCAAAAAAGGTGGAGATTTCAATTTTAAAGAGGTGATTAGAGAATGCGTTACTAAGCAGGTGTGTTGAAGTGTCTGAAGTGTTTAAGTCCAGGGTGCTGATGTGGTTGGTTGTTCAGGGTACAGTAAGAGGGGCACTGGGGCAAGGCAGAGTGAACAAGAGGGAAAAAACAGAAAGGTGAAGTTGGAGAGTTCGTGAGGATCTAGAACATATAGTTCCCCGACAGCTGCTTTCAGAGCCCTGGCTGTTATTCTGGAACATACCAGAACCAGTGCAGAACTCTGAGCTGAGGTGTGATATAATTTGACTAATATTTTAAAGACAACCACCTGGCTGCTATGTTCGGAATACCCTCTGGAGGGCCAGGGTGGAGCAGGAAGCAGAGAAGCATGTAGGAGCTTATTTAACATCTATGCAAGAGATGGCAGTGGCTTGAACTGGGAAGGTATGCTGGAGGTGGGATCGGTGGTTGAATTCTGGGTATAATTTCAAGGGAGAAATTGCAGAATTTTCAGTCAGGTTGGATGCATGGTGTGAGACAAAAAGAGGAGTCAAGTGTGAACGTATAATGTATTTCCCTGTTTCCTGAGAAGGCAGGGGATGGGGGCGGAGGTGTGGGGTGTGGGGACAACTGTGGAAGAAGAAAGGTGTGTGTGTGTGTGTGTGTGTGTCTGTGTGTGTGTGTCTGTGTGTGTCTGTGTGTCTGTATAGGGAGTTGAGGCATGAAATCATTTTATCTATTGTGCTTATGTTCAGTTTGATATGCTATTACACAGTGATGTCAACATGTCCAGTAGCTAATTGAATAAATAAGTTTGTAGTTTAGGGAAAAGGCATGGGTCCGGATACACCTTTTGAAGTCATTAGCATGAGCCTCTAATCCATTTTCTCATTTTTTCTGGCCCCAGGAGAGAAAGAAAAAGCTGATCTGGTCTCCTTGTAAACATGTGAATGGCACACATATGCAGCAGTGTTTACTAGAAAGGTGGTCTAAGAGTGTCGATGACAGATGAGCTAGAATCTGTGAACTTATGGGGTAAGGTCTCTGGACAGTGTCATAAGCTGTGCAATTATCAGAGGATACAATGAAGACAGTTCTGACGTAATGAATGATGAGACAGTTTATGTAACTGAGAGACTGCGTGTTAGCGGTTATTGCATGGGTTTCTTAGAGGCTTCGTACATAAACCTTGCCTACAGCACTTCCCCAAACACCAAGGAAGGCCCTGAGGAGGCGCACTGGTGACCTGAATGTCTCTAGGTCCTGCTTGTATCTCAGGATTACCTGCATCCTTGAAATTATCAGTAAAGTCTGACACTAGGTTGGATCTATGACAACCTGACTGTGTTATGAGGCTAGATTTGATTATCTAACCTCAGTAGGGAAGGTGAGAAAACAGCAAAGGAGACTGAGGAACAGCAGCCTATGAGGCAGGTGAAAACTGAGGAGGACCCAGGTGTCCCGAGAGCCAAGGGAACACATCTGAGGGAGGCTGCCATGAAGAGCTGTGGTTGGAGCTGGGTGTGTGGCTGCCACTGGGGTCTTGACAAGAGTTATTTCAGCGGAGTCATGGAGCCAAAAGCCTTTGGCGTGGAGTCCAGAAAAACTTGGAGGAGAGGAATCCAAAGAAGAAAGAATGGATACTTTTTAAAAGGAGTTTGCCTGAAAAGGGGAGCAGAGATGGGGGTGGCCATTGGAGGGGACTCTGTGGACTCTGGGGTTGTAAAGGACTTCTGAAAATGGAGAAACGGTATGATACTATGCTGAAGGCAGGACTAAGATGAGAAGCACAAATGTACAGCTTAGGCCAGAGAAAGAGCTCTGTCCTTGAGCAGGTTGGAGGGGGATCTAAAGGATGTGTGGAGGGGCTGGCCCTCAGAGGGAAGGCAACCATTCTTAGGAAAAGGAGGCTTGGCAGACTGCTTTGGCCCAGGTGCAGACAGGCAGAGGGGGATTGAGATTTGAGGAAGAGAAAAGGTGTGAGTGATGAAGGAAGGAGGACAGAGAGAGTCGGCATCATTGCTAGGCGGCACCCAGGCCCTCCTGAGGTCAGAGATGATGAATTTAAAGGTAAACTCGTGAGCAGAGTCTTCTGATTCTCTGTACTAACACTGAGCTGCAAATCAAAGTAGAAAGGATGCTGGATTTGAGCTTGGTCGGAGTTTTGCTGGACTCATAAAACGAAGCAGGACGTCTCTCAATCACCTCCTGCATATGACTGAACGATCTCACAGTGATCCGCCAAGCCCCTCCGCCTCAGCTCTGTTCACCTCCTGCATATGACTGTGAACGATCTCACAGTGATCCGCCAAGCCCCTCCGCCTCAGCTCTGTTCACCTCCTGCATGTGACTGAATGATCTCACGGTGATCCGCCAAGCCCCTCCGCCTCAGCTCTGTTCACCTTCTGCATGTGACTGAATGATCTCACGGTGATCCGCCAAGCCCCTCCGCCTCAGCTCTGTTCACCTCCTGCATGTGACTGAATGATCTCATGGTGATCCGCCAAGCCCCTCCGCCTCAGCTCTGTTCACCTCCTGCATATGACTGTGAATGATCTCACAGTGATCCGCCAAGCCCCTCTACCTCAGCTCTGTACCACTGTACTGCTCAACCTACCTTTTTGTCTTGACCTGTCCAAATCTTTCCACATTAAAACAAAAAACAAAAAATCCTTTTTAGTGTAAATATCCCATAGCATTAGAAAGGCTCACAAATGTAGAGCTTAAGACATTATAAAGTGACCAACTTTTTAAACAGTACCCAGGCCAAGACACAGAACTTTACCAGGGTCCCCTGAAGCCGTCTATGTATCTATTCTCATCAAAACACCTTCAACCCCTTCCTAAAAGACACCTTTCTTTTTTTTTTTTTTTGAGAGAGTGCGTCTTGCTCTGTCAACAGGCTGGAGTGCAATGGCATGATCTTGGCTCACTGCAACCTCCACCTCCTGGGTTCAAGTTATTCTTCTGCCTCAGTCTCCCAAGTAGCTGGGACTATAGGCACATGCTACCCTACCCTGCTAATTTATGTACTTTTAGTAGAGACGGGGTTTCACCATGTTGTCCAGGATGGTCTCGATCTCCTGACCTCGTGAACCACCCGCCTCAGCCTTCCAGGTTGTAATCACTTTCTTGTTTTTTCTTATCACTCAGGGTTCATTTCTAAACACTATAGTTCATTTTGTCTGTTTTAAAGGCGTATTGTTCAGTCCATCAGCCTCCACTGTCTTTTTTTCCTTGCAATTTATTTGTAGAAGAAAGCAGGACATGTGACCTATAAAGTTTCCCAGTCTTCATCTTGCTGATTATATCCAGTGTTGCCGTTCATAATGCACCTCGATACTTTATTTCCTATAAATGGATAATGGTCTATAGGCTTCATCCAGTTCAGCTTCTTTCCTTCCTTCTTTCTTCGATCCCTACCCCTTTCTCTCTTTTCATTTTTTTCTTCCTCCTTCCCTCTTTCCTTCTTCCTTTTTTCTCCCTCCGTCTATCGCTCTGTCCTCTTCTTTCTCCTCCTCCTCCTTTTTCTTCTTCCCGTCTCTCTCTGTGATACTACTTCATAGATGGTGCTTTGTACTTCCATCAGGAAGATCATATATCTGTCTCTCTTTCTGAAATGCTTAGCAGTCCTTGATATTCAGTAACTAGATTTATTAAGATTGAAAAATGACATTTTAATTCAAACATTCCTTAATTTATTAGCTAGAATACTTATATTTTTTGGTTACCCAGTGGTATTGTTTGACTAGAAAAGGCAGGATCAAATATTTTTCTTTTACAATGAATATTTATAAACTCATAAACTTACACATATAATGTGTGAAGTGTGTTTTAATCCAATGCAGTGATTTCCTTCTTGAAGCACAACTGTCTCAACTCTGGCCAATGGGAATCCTTACAAGCTGACGTTCCATAAGATGAACCTGACAGCACTCAATAGCTTCCTCGCTATCTGCTGTGGAAAATTACTCAAGTTCATCTTATACATTTCCTGCCTCACACCTGGAATTGCCTACTTTTAAAAGTAGCAAAAGTTTCAAGACCCAGTTGTTATC